TGGTCACTCTGTCGTCCCAGGTGACAGCGAGTTCTAACCCCCCCATGGTCACTCTGTCGTCCCAGATGACAGAGAGTTCTAACATCCCCCCCGCATGGTCACTCTGTCGTCCCAGGTGACAGCGAGTTCTAACCCCCCCATGGTCACTCTGTCGTCCCAGATGACAGAGAGTTCTAACCTCCCCCCCCGGCATGGTCACTCTGCCGTCCTCGGTGACAGCGAGTTCTAACCCTCCATGGTCACTTTGTTGTCCTCGGTGACAGTGAGTTCTAACCCTCCCATGGTCACTCTGTTGTCCCAGGTGAGAGTTCTAACCCCCCCCAAGGTCACTCTGTTGTCCCAGGCGACAGTTCTAACCTCCCACGGTCACTCTGTCATCCTCAGTGACAGCATGCTCTAACTCCTCACACTCTGTGCCCTGTCATTCTTCTATTTGACCTGCTCCAGATGCCTGAGGTCACACAGCCCCCCTGCTCTGTGGGTATCTGCTCTGACCCACCATGACATCTGCTGTGAACACGGCTGGACGTGCTCCTGCATGCGGACCTGTGGGCAGTGCCCCAGTGAGAGCGGGGTGGTCAGCTGTTGGCATGAGCCAGCGGGCCCCTTGATTTCTGTTGTCATCACAGTGGGTGGTGTGATCACGCCCATTCACAGGGGCTACTGAGGCATGGAGGTGGTGCGCTGCCCTCAGGGGCACTGCCTTCCCTGTCCACCCCGACAGAGCCCCTCCTGCCCTCTCAGCTCCACGTGGGCCCAAACTGCATTCAGAGAGGAGAGCAGAACCCCTGGGACCTGTCAGAGGGCACACAGCTGGGATCAGTGGCCGGGGGCCTGTACTTGAGACCCTCTCGGACATCAGGGCTTACACAGCCTGAGCAGAAATGGGGTACAGAGGTCATTGGGCCTCTCCTGGGGCATGGAGGGAGCCTGGCAACCATGGTTTCTGTTCTTTTACTTACAGAGACAGACCATGGACCACTTTAAGCAGCCATGATTACGGCCAGGGGGCAGAAACGTCACAGGCCCATCCGCTCCATCTGTAAGCAAAATGAGAAAAAAAGGCTGTCAGCAAGGGGCCAGCCGGTGGGATGGGTGGGCCTTAGCTGGCTCCTGCCCCTGAAACATCTCTGGGAACAGAATTCTGTCACCTCCTGGCCAGCAGGCCCCTCTGGACCTCTGCCTCCTCTCTTAACGCAGCTGGGGAGGGTGACCTTTGGGAGCCCCAGAGAATTTCAGCATCCATCTACGAGGTGGGTGGGTAGACTGTCTCTTAGCAACGTGCTTCCCAGAAGGTACTTTGGCGGTCTTGCTCAGCACCATGCACAAGGGACCTGCCACCCTGAACTGTGGGTTTGGAAACTTGCTGGAAATCTAACAGCCTGGCCCAGTAAGATCTAAAATGAGGCCCAGAATGAGCGGTTGGAGGGAGAACAGACCAAATCATGAAGGGAGACCAAGCCTGCCTGAGCTGGAATTAGTGGTGGAAGTGATAAGCAGTGTGCAGGCCTGTCAGCACAGGTAGTAAGACTCCCATCATAGGAGGTAACCAAGGGAATGATAGAGCATTGGTCGGCATGGATCCTTCCAGTAGGTAGCTCACACTGGGTATATTCTTTCCTACAGTTTTTATTTCCTACAACTCTCTCTCCTACCTCTGTGGTCGTGCTGGGGCTTCAATCCCAAAATGAATTCTTGCCGAACTTTGAAGGGTCAGGATGGCCACCAGGCAAGAAACAGGGCAGCCCTGAGCTCTGGTTCAAGGTCAGCCTCTTAACTTGACTGGGAGTGTTGCCAGGACTGCCTGGCCAGGCCAGCAGAGTCCTCAGCTCAGGCTGCTGCTGGCCAGGTGCTCAGACATGGCTGACCGCCGGCTTCCAGGGAATCGTGTGGTTTAGGGACATATAAAGGGCCACCTCGGGGGCAGCCTGGGGCTTCTCACGCCATCTGCAGCTGGTGACATGAGTGTCAGCCTGAAAATGAAGCTGTGGGTCTTTTTTCTGTCAGCTCCCTGCTCTTCCAGGAAAGTGGGGCCCCATGCCATCATAACAGGGTGCCAGAGGGCAGGAAAGATGCAGCTCATGGGCCAGCACCCCTCACCAGCACACTTGCATCTGCTCAGGGGCCAGAGGCAAAGTCCAGAAGATCCAGCTGACCACAGCCCGACCCTAAACAGGAACATCTGGACCCTACATCTTCCCTTCCAGCAACAAGGCTGGGGAAGGGGGAGAGTGAGCCTTGAGGGTGAGGGATGAAAGCAGGAGGGAGGCAGCCTGGTGGATACTAAGGGCCACAGGCCAAGGAGTAAAGACCCTTCTCTAGGGAAGGGCTTTATCTAATTCCAGACCTTGGGGAAGGCTCCGAGTGTGGGACTTAGTGGCCCTGAACATAGGGTGGTGTGGACTTGTGGAGTCATACTGTCTTACAGACTGTCCCACACCTGGGGCCTCCCTCTTCCCACCTAAAGCCACTCACCACCTGCCAGTCACGCTGCAGACAGCACGGGACCTCATAGGGTCCCCAAGGCCGGAAATCCTTATGGAGCAGGCCATTTCGTCTTTCTCCTGAGAAGCTCGTGGGTGCGAACCACTGACCATGTGATTGTCAGCTGAGCATCTAACCATAGCTGCGAATGTCCCCAAGCTGCCAACTTCCCGAATACTGAGAGAACAAGACTCATCCTACAGTGTCTAGTAACGTGTCCTGCAGGCTGCCCCTGGCCAGTCCAACCGGGCATCTCTGTGTCACTGTCACCAAGGCCACTTCCTGAGATGGACTCAGCATCACCCCCAGCCCAGCCTCGAGGTCAGGGCTGCAGCCACACAGCCAGCTCCAGGGCCCAGCATGACCATTCTCCGTACCCACCAGCTGTGGCTCGTAATGTCCACTCGTGACACTGGTGCTGTGTGTTCCAGTCCCAAGTGGGCTGGGAGGACTGGGGGCAGGGGAGAGTGGTCAGGAAGGCCCCTGCTCCCAGCAGTCCTCACCCTGGTCTGATATCCTGACGCCCGGACCTTCTCCCAGGCCAGCACCAGCAGACAGGTGAATGCCATGGCCCTGGAAAGTCCCCAGGTCTGCGCTCTGGATAGTGACTGGTGGGGGGCTTCAGAACTTGGCCAACTCTGATCCTAGAACGGCTAGAGAAGCAGGACCCCCAGGACCACCAGGGCAAGCACAGGAGATGATGCGGCTAGCTCACGGTCACACGGCTGGAACCGAGAGGAGCCAGATGTGCAGACATATGGGTGGGACCGGAACTCGTGCTCATATGAGGCCAGCTTCCTCAGCATGTCCAGGGTGGGGCCTCATGCCCTCTGGCATTACAGGAGGGGAGGGCTCTCTGCCCTGCCTGCCCTCTGTCCAGCCACCCACGGCCCAGCCTTGGGCCACTTACTTGTGTGGGGTGTGAAGGAGGGGTGCCTTGAGGCTCCCTGGACCGTGGCAGGTGGTGGTGGTGGCATGCTGGGTGGCGTGGACCGGAGCTGTGTCTTCACCTCGGCCGGGGAGTTGGGCATTGCTGCTGTCTTCTTCTTTCGGTCTGCTGGATACGGAGGTCAGGAGAGATGGGAGAGAGACAGTGAGACGCTGGCCAACAGGGGAAGTCAAGCACCCCCATGACCCCCACGTGCCCACTGGAGCCAGCAACGGCCACAGGTGTCCTCCCAGGTGAGGCATGCAGATGTGAGCCTGGAAGAGCCTGCCTGCCCCACCCATGCCAGGTGAGGGTGCACCTGACATACGAGGCCCCTCAGGTCACCTGGAGGGCAGGCTGGGACATGGACATGCTCTGCCCTGGGTCTCTGCTCAGGGCCCAGGTGAGCATGTCTACCAGACTGCAAGCGAGGCTGCTCTGGCCCAGGCCACCACTCGAGGGCCCCTTGCAGTGCCTGGGATAGGGTGGACCCTGCCTGCCCCAGCAGATCCTGACCACCAACAAGGGGGGACACGGCCAGCCTTAGACCTTCCAGCCACTCACAGCTCCAGGGTCAGCGTCCCACCTCAGAGCAGGAAGCTGGTGAAGGAGTCAGCCTGGGGCTGGAGAGTCCATGCTGGCCGTGCTGCCAGCGAGTGGGACAGAGGACAAGGGACTGCCCCTGAAACAGTGCTTGGAGGAGAGGGAATCTGGGGGTGGAGAGGGCTGCTGGACCGTCTTAGGAACCAAGCACACCCCCTTCACCCTGGGCCAAGGACAGCCAGGGCCAGACGGTTCACACTCCACAATTACAACCAGGGCTGAGAGGACGGCTCAGAGGCTTTACCTGTGACAGGACCCACCCTTGGGACCCTCCCTCCCCCCCCCCCCGCGCGCAGGAGCTGGGTTACCCTCAGCACCAGGGCAGGCAGGAAGGTGGAGGAGGGGTTATGGTGTGGGGACCCCAGTACCTTTGGCTACAAATGTTTGAAGAGTACAGAGCCTTCCTCATCCTCCTGCCTCCTTTCCACCCCAGGACGTGGACCGTGTGTACATGAAGAGCCTGCACACGTGAGCATTCGTGCACGTGCGTGGCCGGGGTGAGGGGTCTCCCAGCCGTTTACAGTGAGTAGTGGCGGGGGTAGCATTCGCCGTGTTGTGCACTCACCCCCCAGCAGCCCACCCCACCTTTCTGCAGAGCGAGGGGCAGAGGACCTGCCCCCCCTGTGTGCTGCTGGGATCTGGGAGACCCTGGCTGTGGGGTCAGCCTAGGAAGGGGGAGGGGACTGGTGACAGCAGCCACCGGCCACCCGCACCTGCTGTCCCCATCAGCTGTAGCCGCCTGGACTCTCTCCCGCTGGGTGCTTGCACTTCCCCTCCCCTCCGTCCGCTTGCCAGGCTGCTGCCTGCTGATGGCTGGGCACATATGTGGCCGCAGCTGTGGGGACCCATCAATGCCAGGCCTGGCTGTGGGGCCCCTGGTCACCCGAGAACAACCAAACAAGGCAAAGGTGGCACTAGGGCCTGAGGAGGTGCAGGCATCCTGGCCCGCCCTCTGTCTGACCTGCTGCCCGTGGTCAGTGGCTGGGTCAGGTGCTTGGGGGTGCCAGGCAGGACAGGACCAGAATATCACAAAGTTCAAGCACGGGCTTGGGCTCGGGGGTCAGGCAGGACACAGATTTGTTCCAACATCTCAAAGTCTGTCCTCAGAGGTCCACTTGGACTCTGAGGCTAAATCCAAACAGAAAATGAGGGTTAAAAAGCCCCGCTGAGGAGCAGTGGGGAGCACAGCAGGGGCCCCGAGGTGGACATCCCCTAATCTGGGTATTCTCTGAGCGGCCCAGTCAGTAGTGGCTGTGATGCTGGGAGAGGGAGGTGGTGGCCCTGTGCTGGCAGCTGGCACCATAGTGTGAGGACACACACTTACCCATGTTTCTGGCAGTGCCCACATGCATGAGGGCTTCCACGTACTGTAGAGGGGGTGCACCACCCTTCTGGTGCTATGAGAAGCCAGGAGCACAGACAGACAGACAGTTGGGTAGAAGCCAGGCCCCACAGACCTAAGGCCCAGTCTCACTGCCCTATCTATGGACGCCGGCAGAGCAAAACTGACAGCCAGGGCCTCTGCAGCTGTAACCAGGCCACCCTGTCCTCTGGGCCACTGGTGACTGCCCCTGCCGCAAATAAGCCCTGAGTCCCGGTCACCATCACACCCACTCCCAGAGCCTGATGAGGTCGAGAGCCCAGGCAGATGACCCAGGAACAGACCCCATGCCCACAAGCCAGCTGGAGCAGGAAGCTGTCCAGGCAGGGTTGACTGGAGGTGACAGTGTCTGCCCTCTGCCAAGGCCACCCGGCGGTGCCCATGTGGACGGAGCAGCTGGCATAGCCACACTGGCAGAGTGACATGGCCACCTGGAGAGCTGCCGGCTCCCAGAGGGGCATCTGGGGGCAAGGTTCCCCTCTGTTCTCACTGCCCCGTAGGGTCCACCTGCGTCCTCAGTCCCTGCTTGTCCCCTGTGTGTATGTGTGTGTGGCACTGCAGGGCCTCCTCCAACCCTCACACACCCCAGGAGGCCCTGCTGCCACCACAAATAGGGACCATGGCTCAGTGCCTGCTCAAGGACACACAGCTGTCTGGGTCTCCCATCGACGGGGGCACTGCAGGGCTGGGAGCCCCTGTAGGCCAGCCAGGACCCAGAGGGGGGTGTTGAGTGGAGCGGGCATCCCTTGGCGTGCAGGCAGGACGGGCGAGGAGGCAGGGTCTCTGGGGCGGGGGTGGAGGGCCACATGCTCATTTGCATCTATTTATATAGCTTTGCATGGGATTTCACAAGTCGGAAGACCCTGACAGCCAGGGATTGGCCCCTGGGAGTGGGCTGGATGGTGAGATGCCCTGATGTTCTGCAGATCCTCCTGTGAGAGGCAAGGTGTCCCAGGGCAGGAGGAAGGAGTCGGGTGCTATGGTGGACTTTCAGGGTTCAGGCCAGACAGGAACCCCATCATTGTCCCAACTGATAAGGAGCTGGGTCTTTTAAACCCCGGTGGGGTACTGGGCAGCCTCAGGCCTGAAGATAACTCTGCTCCCCAGTCCTTGGAGATAATCATGGCTCCAGTCTCCAGCCCGCCCCTCCCTTGGCCTCTCGGCATCTCACCCCCCCCCCCGACAATTCCCAGAGCCCTGTGGTGTCCCCATGGGAGACCCTGTGTTGTTCCCAGACGATGCTTCCAGTTCCCAGCTCAAGTCCCCTAATCCGCCGGCACAGGAAGCTGCCCTCCCTGGCCAGGCAGAGCGGTGGGAAAGAACACGGAATGCGTCGGAACAAGCCACCCCATCCATCACTGTCGCCATCCGCCAGCAGTTTCCAGCCCACCCCACGCAGCTGGGAACCTGCCACAGTCCAGTGCTCTCAGCCATGGGGTTCTAGAACATTCTGAGAATGATGTTAGCATCCTCCTCTGCTCAACCCCTCTGCAAGCCCATGCCTTGAAGTGTGTGACTCTGTTTCCGCTCTGTCACCTTGAACCCTCACAAAGCCTTAGAGGATATGGGCAGAGAACCCCTGTGAGGGTGACAGAGAGCCGACACTGTGGGCCAGCGTGGTCAGTCTGGAGTGGGGTGGGGGTGGGTAGATGAGAAGACTGAAGTCCAGGGAGGGGAGCCCAGAACCAGCCAGCTCCTGGTGCTGGGCCCCCAGAAGCCTGGGTGGGGTCTCCAAAATTCCAGCCCTCTCTTCACCTTCCCTGGTGGGCCTCTCAGACCAGGACCAGGTCTCGGAGGCAGCAAATGCCTGGCAGAAGCTGTGCTGGGGTATCCTGTGGGCTCTGGGAGGTAGCTACACTCCAAGATGACATCACCTCCTAAGAATGCTGTGCCTTGGTTTCCCCTTCTGTCAAGGATAAGGGTGGCAGGATGGGTGAGGCTCTGGGCTCAGTACACAGTCCCCCAGCCCCAGCCTCAGTCTCCTGCCTGTAAGTGGGACAGTCCCTGGCCTGCCCTGATGACGGTGAGCTGAGCAGGGCCCGGAGAAGAGGAAGCTACACTTGGAATGCTCATTGCACTATTTTCCTCTTTAATTATCTGAACACCCCTTCCCTACAGGACAAAGTCGAGGAGCAGGAGAAAGCCCTTCTTTCCTGTACAGTCAGGTCTGCCTGCCCTCAGGGGTGCCCTCCAGGTGGGGAGGACGTAAGGAATGTCCATGCCAGGCCCTGAGACTCACAGCAGCTTGTATATTAGCCTCTGCTGAGGATTGTGGTCCCTAGCCATAACCCACAGCAGAGAGGACAGCATCAGAGCTGACCCCATCCCTCTAAATTCTCGCCTGTGTCCTGCACCAGGCTTCAGTCCATTGCTCTAAAAGCAAACCCATTGGCTGGAATTTCTCGAGAACCAAAGGTGTCAGTCATCCCTTATAACCCTTACAGGACTTCTTTTTCCTAAGACCCCAGGCCAACAGCCAAGAGTGACCGTGGAGGCTTTCATTGGTGGCCATCACTCTTGTCTTTCCATCCAAGTCTTTCTCTCTCTTGCTTGTTCTGTGGCAGCCACTGCAGGGCCCTCGACTGTGGGACTGTAACTGCCTCAGGACCTTTGCAAATTCTGATCTGATTTCAGACTCAGCTCTCTCATGGCCTCAAGGTTGACCTTCAACTCCTGCTTGCCTTTGTTCAAATGATCTTCCTGGTCCTTCAGAGAGACTGACCTCCCACATCCTCACCTTCCTGCTGCTGCTGTTTCTCTATAGCTCTTTTCCAGAAAGACAGAGGGACAGTGATTGCAAAGTGGGCTCAAAAATCGCTCCAGCTGTGGGAATGGAGCAGGATTGGGCAGGGTTTTATTCTGCGTGTTATGTGTGGGGTTGCGATGATTGTGATGATTGTGAGGCATTGAGCAAGGCCTGGTGCTAGCTGACCCCGGCTTTCCTGAGCAACAGTGTATCAGTAAGACTCCTCAGTTGTCACAAATATTCCACAGGCATGGGCTTTGGTGAATACAATGTAATGTAGCAAATGGGCCACAGTAATGCAAGATGTTGCTAATAGAAGGATACTGGGGGTGGGGGGTGGTGTAAGAGAGAGAGAGGAGAGAGAGGAAAGAGAAAGGAGAGAGAGAGGACATGGGAACTCTGTACTTTCTGTGTGAGTTTTCTGTAAACTTAAAACTGCTCTTTAAAAAGTCTGTTAAGGGAAAAAGTAAGGCAGGAGCTCTAGAAAGAGGCCACACCCAAGGGTCCATGAACAGTGATGGACATCTCGTTCCCAAGCTGAGTGAACTGGAGGAACTGGGGGATGACTCAGGACATGAGACGGTATCCCCACATTCACTTGAGTCTATAGTGACCAGGGGCCCAAGGTCAATGCCAGAAGGGATGGCTACTTTGATCCCTGGTAGTGAAGGCAAGAGGGATTGGGGGGGGGGGCACGAAGTCCTAATGAATCCCAGAGCTGGACCTCGAATCTCTCGACATCTGGTTTCTATTAAGGCTCTGCGCATGGTAAATAAGTAATAATATAAAAATAAAACGATTAGTATTTCCTCCTCCTCTGTCCCCTTGATGACTCTGGGGCCAGGCTGGGGTTCCTCCCTCCCCAGCCCTTCCTGGTCTTGGCCTCAGCTGCCTGGTCCACCATCCATTAACCTGCTCCCTGCTGTCCCTGCCCTTCAGCCCAGGCTGCCTGACACATGCCTCAGTGTGGTCACTTCCCCACCTCGGGGTAGGAACCAACAAGGCCAACCTGGTGGGAATTGCAGACCATCAGCCCTTGGGTGACGATGGCAAAGTTCACGAGGTCACCAAGGAAACAGCGCTGGTTTGGGGTCAGGAAATGGCCTGGTTGACTCTGCCATAGACTGTGAACCTGGGGAAACATGGGCAGAACTTCTCTCAGGCTCAGTTTACCAGCTGCAAAGTGTGGGCGCCAACTCCTGCTTCTCTGGGCTGTGGATAGTTGAGACGGAGAGTACATTTACAGTGAGAACACAGCAGAATCCTGGTGGGGTTCCCTCTCCTTTCCTGCTTGAACCCTTTGGGGGAACAGTACGGCAGTTCCAGCTCTGGCTCTCAGTAGAAAGGGACAGTTAACAGCACTCAAATCTGAGGGAGCATAGGGTCCGAGGGTCCCCTAACTGGAAACATGCAGCCACAGGGCAGCTGCCTGCCCAGCACGACAGTGCACCCCACACAGCAGGAAGCTGACAGTCACCATGAACTGACAAAAGACATGCGTCCACCTGGGCTCCAAGACCCTCTGGTCACCACAGTGCAAAGCAGCACAGCTGAACAAGACCTCTGAGGACCTTCCCAGTAGGCACTGGGCCCACCACCACTTCTGAGCCAGCTCTTTGGTGCCCAGGCTTGGGGATCTGGCCAGACAGACCGGCCTTCTCTCTGTCTCATGCCCAGTGTCTCTGGCTTGGAAATCCACAGCCCACTTTGTATCCTGTAAATGGGTCTTGTCAAACACTTGGTGGTCAAGGCAAAAAGTCTGTCCCTTGACGCAGGGCCTGAGGCTGGTTTCCCATTTCTCCACACCTCCACATCTCCTTGTGTTTCCGCACTGCTGGAGGCCCTGTCCCTCTCCCTGTCCCCCTGTGCTCTACACGCCTCTATAGCTGCACACATCTCCTCACTTCCCACCCCCTTCCATGGCTCCTGTTTGCTCCTTTGTGCCTCTCTGGTCCCTCCACCCCTCTCTGTTCCCTGTCACACATACCTGCACCACCCTTGCTTCCCTCCTCAGTCCAGCTACCCACCTCCGCTCGCTCCTGCAGGTCCTCCTGTCTCAGGACCTTGGCGCGTGCTGAGTCCATTTCCTCCACTGCTTTACTCGAGATATTTGCAAGGTTGTCCCCTAGCCCTGCAGCATATCACCACTCAGGTTTGGGCTCACAGCCTCCTCCCTAAAGAAGCCTTCCCTGCCCCATAGGGTCAGCCCCCACTGCATTCTCACTCCACGGCCTTCAGACCTGCCTGCATCACAGGCCACCTCCCACTGGCGCCGCTGCCCACTCCTGGTCTCTGCATCAGCAATGCCACCTCTAGCCAGGTTTTCTCAACAGGTGACCACAGGTGGACACGGACACTTGCTGAGGAAGACTGTCATCATAGCACTGCTCATGACGGGGCCACTCAGGGAAGCAGCCAGGTGGCCCTGACAGGCCAAGGATGTGAACTGCTGTCACATGCTAAAATGTTATTATGCTGTTACACTGCGTTCACTTTGCAAAGTGGTTTTCTCCAGCCTAGGCCTTGATTTCCTTGCCTGCAAAATGAGGACAGTAGGCTCTCAGCAGCATCAGTCAGGAAATCAAAAGGTGAATTAAGTTGGGAAAATCTGCTGTCAGGGAATTCTCCAGAGTACTGAGGAGCAACAGTGTCAGTCTAGAGACTAAGATGTGCCTGATCCAGGCCATGGTCTTTGCGATTACTTGCTATTCTTCAGAGAGCTGGACCGTGGCTAAGTGTGACAGAAGAAGAATTGATGCCTTTGAGTTCTGGTGTTGGAGAAGAGTCTTGAACAAACCATGGACTGCCAAGAAAACAAACAGGTCTGTCTTGGAGAGGCTGAAACCAAGTTTCTTCTTGGAGGCTAGGACTTTGAAGCTCCATCTCACAGACTCTGGGCATGTGGCCAAGTGACACCGATCCTTAGAAAGGACATCATGCTCAGAATTGTGAAGGGACAGCACAGGCGAGAATGATCCCGGATGAGATGGTACAGTAACTGGGGCAATGGGGTGAGGTGTGTCAGAGTCAGTGAGACTGGCTCAGGACAGAACAGGCTTCAGAGCTGCTGTACTGAGGGGTTGCTATGGATCGCAGCTGACTCGATAGCACATAACAACAGCAACAAGGCAAGAAGATGAAAGGAGGATAACGGGGGTACAGTGAGCCCAACCCCCACAATGCAGCAGTTCAGTCTTAGGTGTACCACTGATGGAAACACAGTAACACACAGTGAGGCTAGACAGGGCGCTCGTCCACTCGCTGGCCACTTTCCCTAATAATCGCAGCCTGGAAATTGTCTAAACGCCCGTGAGGGGTGGGGCAGATGAGTAAGTGGTGGCCAACCCAGACCATGGAGTGCCCCCCTCAGAGAGAGCGCACTCGCGGCCCCACGGGTGACCTCGTGCCCCAGCTGAGGGGAAGAAGCTGGCCCAGGAGGTCACACTGTGAGAGCTCCCAAATCAGGCATGGTGGTGTGTGCTGTTCACCATCAGGTGGGGGACAAGGGCAGGGTCTTTCCGGGGAACTGGGTGAGGATGACATTGTGTGTTCACCTCACAAAAGCCATTCAGCATCCACTCTCCCACAAAAGCATGCTGACCACCAAGCCCGCCCTCAATGGCAGGGAAGAGACCCATGAGGGGTGCCAAAGGCAGGTGATGGGCTGTGTCCTTCTGTCTAGTAAGTAGCCACACACATGGAGAGATGACAGGGTCCACATGTCACTGTGGCCCTTGGCAAGGGTGTGGGCCCTGGAGTCTCATCTCACCTGTGATGGCCAAGGGAAGTGTCTGGGCACATGTGGGCCTGGATGCTGCAGTGACCATGGTGGCCAGCAAGCTGAAGATGCGCTCCCAGGCACCTGGCCTTGAGTCCCCGAGGGTACCCTCCAAGCTTGCCCCCACCCTCTGCACTACCCTGGGGCTGAGCGAAGTTATACAGGTAGAATTAGGAACGGAAAGTGGCTGGCCAACCTTCCTTCTGCTCCAGAGGTCACAAATGCTATCCAGCTGCTGAAAGCCCACTCACTCTGAGGCTGGCCGGTGAAAGACGCACATTGCCTATCTAGCTGTGGGGGTCCCCACCAGCAGCAGCCCCCTGGAAGTGGCAGGCACGACAGCTCTATCACCTGGGCCTGCCCACTGCCAACAGGCTTGCCAGGCTGGGGGCTCAGGGGAAGGGGGGAGCCCTTCTCACCCAGCCTGGTCAGGTAGTGTGGGAGGGACGGGCACCTCAGCTCTTCCCTTCCCCATGCAGTGGCACTGAGGCTAAGGCGCCCTGTGCAGACTGGTAGACCCCACTATGAGCGGGCTGTGTTAACGGATGTGGCCATGTAGCTGTCTGATGGGAGGACAGAGAGTGGGTGGGTGTATAGAGCAATGCCTGGGTGGGAGGGGGGATGGTGGATGGATAGACAGGTGGGTAGGTGGGTGGGTAGACAGGTGAGTGCATGTGGCTGGAGGACAGGTGGGTGTGTGGGTGCATGCATGGATGGAATCATAGGCAGATTGTGGACGAGTGGCCTTGGGTGGGTGGGTTGAGAAATGGGTGGGTGGACAGCGAGTTGAGTGTGGTGGCTGGCTGAGGATGGCTGAGTGTGGTGGGTGACTGGATGAGAGGACAAGTACGCAGATGGGTGGGGGACAGGTGGTTTGATGGATGAGTAGTCGTTAGCCAGCATCTGGGTTGATTTTGGGGCGTGTGTGCATGTGTGCACGTGTTGAAGTGAGTAAACATGCAGGTAAGTCCAAGGCTGGACAAGGGCAGGGCTCGGGGAATGGGCACTTCCCCTCTGCTCCTTGTTCCGTGTGCCCAGGCAGGTCTCCCAGTGGAAACCCAGAGAGGAAAGGCCTCAGGTCTCTTCTAGGAGATAAGGGCTCATGGGCCGGACATATACAGAGTGAAGGATCAGTGGTGCATGGAGAAAGCAGATGGACAGACGAATGGATTAGCCAACTAACAGCAGGGTACAAGACTCTGCGAGGTCCTGTGGGCTCCCCTTTCCCCCTCAGGAGGATACAGGATCCCTCCACTCACTGACATGCCCCCAGGCATCTCACAGCCTGGATGGAGCTGGGGGCTGGGTCTCAGGGTGGGGGACACCAGGCCGACTCAGAGGAGAGTCAGGCAGGCTTGGACAGTCCCTTTCCTCTCTCTGTGCCTCGGTTTCCACGTCTGTAATGGGTGAGGTGAGGACAATGTGTCCATGTGGGAGGCTAAGCAGTGCTTGGTCAGCACACACGTGGACAACTGCACAGCTGAGCCTGCTGTGGTCAGTGAGGATGGGCAAACTGACTGTGCCTTGAGGGGGCCTCGCTGGGACGAGGGGGCAGGATCCACAAAGGCACCCAGTTAGACTCTCAGCTGATGTCAGAACAGAGACAGCCAGTGATGGAGGTCAGCTCCTGCAGGAGGGACGGGGCAGAGTGTCCAGATGGGGACAGAAGCCAAGAGTCAGAAAGAAGAGAGACAGAGACACATGCAGACTCAGGAGAGAGAGACAGAGAGGGAGCAGGAAGAAGGAGGGGGGGGAGAGGAGAAAGACAGAGAGAGGAGAGACAGAGGGGAGAGACAGAGAGAAAGGAGAGACAGAGGGGAGAGACAGAGAGAA